CACGCTGGAATTCGTAACCAGTCGAAGGATGTGCAAATCCAAGTGGGATTGTGATGCACACGGGCAGGAAATTCGATGCGGTAAAAAGGGAACCCCCGTGCGGGAACTCACACGACAATTTCGAGTCCCGTTGAACAATGCCCCGAGGAAACGATCCGACTTCCCCGGTACGACGATTCTGTCCACGCCACCAGAAATTTTGAGGACGACCATCGGAGACGACTATCACATCGCCAGCTTCCAGACCTAGTCGGTCTGCCTCGTCCAATGTTTGCATTGCTACCACTTCAAACGGACGTATCTGTGCGTATGTGGAGTGGGCAGGGGCAAAGCAAATTGGGCGGATAAAAACAGAAAGAGTAGGGTTAATGTGATAAAACTTCGAAAACCGCATTTTGCAGTATGCAACATGCTGTTGCATCAGGATCTCCAGAACAACAAATTAGTTGCATTCTGAAAGATCGAGTCGGAATCCCAGTATTACTACTGCAGACATAATGAGTAGCTGAAAATTACAGATAATCGCTGAGTTATCTGGTAACTTGCTCCGATCCAGCTTAGGTGCACAGGCAACTACGAATACTGCGTCTTTCTGCATTTCAGGTAAGTGCATGTGCACCCATGCACTGTCTACAACAGATACACCGATTAGTTTTCAAGGGGTAATCGATTAGGCTAAGTAAACAGAATTAAACCATTCGGGGGTGGGGTGACGACTAGAGAACAATGGGTTGGATCTCTTAGGGCAGTCAACAGAAATCACAACAGTTCGTTCCATAATTAGGTGTGGGATTAGCACACATAAGCGCGCGCGCATGCATTCACCTACCAACTGGTCGAATCAATAAAATCATTTGACACAAAGTGGTTGGCCACTCCAGTTTCAGTTTTTACAACCATTAACCATGCACTTTCATGCGCCGGTTTTGGTTGCTATCTTTTCGCTGCCTATTTGGATGAACAATGGGAGAAAGGCAGGAAGTTTGAAAGTAGAGTCGAAGAGAAAATTAAGAACTTCAGCAAACTATGGCTGTAAATTAATTGAGATGCACAAACGCCACTGTTTACGACACCTAGCCATATCACTCAGTATTTCTAACCACTTGTTACGATCATCCCGAGATCCCCAGCTAAGGAGCCTAACGGGACCTATGTGACCGAGTCTCTCGGTTAGGGTTTTCATATTCTTTTGCCAGGCCTTAGCTTGACTACCCTTGGCTTTATTCCAACTCCTCTCTGCGTCGGTAAACATCGCTCGCCGTGGCAACCTATCTGGTGACATGCGTAACACTTGCCCCAACCAAGGTAATCTATGGAGGTCGATCACTTGCTCTAGTGTACGACCGCGAATGCCTAAAACTCTACGCCTAACCTCAGCATCACTCGTCTGGCTGCCCCACCAGACGTACAGGGACTGGTGTGGTTGAGTGGAACATAGGTCACCGAACCAAAGTGTATCGGTGTCGGTTGATTGAACAGCGACATTGTGCCTAACCCGGAATGGATAATCCTGACACAGTGCTAGTTGAATAAATGTCGAAACAGCTCGCCATTACGAATGTCGGCGAAACCTGATCGCATGGGGAAAGCCTCGAAACGGAGAGAGATTGCTTGTCTGCGTGCACTTGTGCACCCCTATTGGGTTAAGCTAATGTGAAAAGATAATTAACTGTAGCACTGTGTTGGGAAGGGAGCAGTCGCTAAGGTCATGACTGATAACAACTATACCCGCGCCATTCTATCGATCTTAATTAGCACAGAGGGGGGGGAGTGGAGGATAAATGATCAAGTCAGAATATGGTTGAAGCGACCATTTATTGATTGCTTCGTGGGAAGGAGGTAAAGAAAATAGGTGCTTGTGGATCAATTACAGTAGGGTTAGTCGAATAGTGGACAAACTAATAACGGGAAATATGAGCACAATCGAAAAGAATAACAAATGTCAACCAGATGGATTAGTAAACGGTCCTTGTCAATGTAAAAGTATCGGAATTTCGAGCAGGATGCTGCTGAATCTATATAGCGACGGGAAAACCACTAGTACCAAACAAAATAATGTGAACAGTCCTCGCACAGGACCCTCGGAGCCTCTCCGATCCACAAGCTGCCAAAACCAAAAGATGAATAACTAAAAACGACAAGGGCACTGTCGAAGGCAGTTGACGCTTAATTGAATACAGGTTGCAAAGACCGTCAGGCAGCTCAGACGAAATGCAGTACGGCATCAATTCATCCAAGGTGTGCAATATCTGGGACTGGCTTGCCTGACACTATTCAATAAAGGTTAAAGGTCTCGCGGCAGGCGCACTCTGTTGCCCGCAATGATTTTAACAATATCTAATTTTGCTTTTAAAATCTGGATCCAAATGGAATGGACATAAGGCCATTGGGACGTAGACAGCCGGTTTAGATTAGTCAGATACACGAATCAGACGTAGGAACCTACTTGATCCAAGCGATCGGCCAAATAGGTGAACGATGGTCGCCGTCCCGGTTCCGCTCGCCAGCAGGCCAACATGATCTGGTAGAGACGCCGTGGACAAGTGAGTCGAGGCCAGGCCAACCGGCGTCCAGAATCGAGCACACTGAGCAATTTAGCCGCATCCAAACCGGACCACGGGGCTGCACCCCAAGTCCAGATCTCCCAGCAAGTGACGCCCCAGCTCCAAACATCACTGGCCTGAGAAAACAATCGATCACGAAGACATTCTGGTGCGGACCTGTGACAATGTGGAAAAAAAACAGGCCACACAGAGCTCGGATGAATCAACCACCCGTTGTGAGAGCAAAATGACAAACAAAAATAACCGCCGCGCAAGGAACATCGCTCGGGTATACTGGGAAAAAGTGAATTCTGCATAAGTTGCTAAAACAGGCAATAAAACCTTGGTCACGGGCAACCTTTTCTCACGTGGTAGAAACGAAATTGGACTCGAAAAGTTTGTTCGAAAGATTCATGGCTGAGAAAACCTGGAACAAAGTGTGGAATCACGTGAGTGCAATTCTCATCAACCGAACATTTTTGTTAACGCGAAATCGCCCATTTTGAAATAACGAGCGTAAAAGAAAACACGGTAGATAAGTGAACGAAAAACGTTCTCAAAAACATATATTATATCCACCTTCTAGTGAAGTGAAATAGCACTCAAACGAAAAAGTACATTTCAATATCATCTTCATACAGCGGAATACAGTGGAGCAAACTTTACTGATCGCTGCTTAACTCGCAATGCAAACAAAGTCAGTGGTAATATTGAAGGTGGACAGGGATTGGACCTATTTTAAGGGAGGGAGAAGAAGGTGAACGTCTACTGTCAACACACAGAGTACGCAATCGAACTCTGCACACATACCGTTTCAAGCATTCTGGTCTGATAAGAAATTACAACAAGAATGTCACTGCTGTCGGTTCACTGCCATATCCCTCAACGTCTCCAATCGATCAGTTGCAGATTCTTTTGGACCCCAACTTGGAAGGCGAGAGTCACCTACTGTACATAATCACTCTGTCCANAAGCTTCGTCTCTACGTCATCTGTTGACCTCCAAGTGGTTTTCTCCAGTTCGGAGGTTACAACGAATAAAGCGCGGTGCGGTAGACGACAACTAGGCATACAAAATACGTGCCATAGCCAACGAAGCCTAATAATCTGAATTCGATGTCCTACCAAATCTATCCCGAGTAAACTCCTAAACAAACTGTGTAAACACCGATATTCGAAAACTTCTAGTCGATAGATATTTGATACTTGCAAATGCAAGCTCTCACAACCATAAAGCAGAACTGAACGAACGGTACCACAATATACACGACCATTCAACTTCGGTGAAACACCCGGTCTGCGCCAAAGGTGTTTCAGTCCTGCGGACGCTACTTGAGCCTTGGAAATGCGGGCGGTTATCCCGTTTGCTGAACTACTGTCCTTAGTCACAACCACCCAAGTAGGAAAAGTAGGCCACTATGATTAATTCCTAGCCATTTAGTTTCAAGGCGGGACTAAGCGACACCCAGTCTTGCAGCATCACTTTGTATTTTGGAGGTGCAAAGTAAATCAAGTCAAGTCAAGAGTGCACTTGCCAAATGTGGCAACCGCACTTGTTAGTCTATCCAGTGCGCTTTGCGCGTGTTCCAAATATTCAAACAGAGAGACAACGTCATGGCACAACTTTCCTCCAGCTGCGCATTCAATACTTAAGTTTTGGAGACCATTAGGTACGTTCTCCGGAATTTCGTCTATGATGAAATTGAACAGGAATGGCGAAAGAGGGCACCCTTGACGAACGTCGCTGCTGGTGACGAACGGCCTACTTAGTTTGTTGTAAACCCTCACTCGACCAAAGGTATGTGAGTACAGTGACCTAAATACGTTGACGTACTCCCGGGGAATTCTTTTTTGAAGAAGAGAGCCCATCAGAGCTTCGCGGTCAACTGAGTCGAACGGTCCTTTCAGGTAAAGGAACACTGCGATCGTTGGTCGACGGTGGGTGTGACGCAACTCAAGAACCTGATGCAACATAAAAATTTGAGCAATAACGAAGTGTTTGGATCACGAGGTTCAAACGAGAAGTGAGATGAACTAACAACGATTGCTTTCCAGATGAAAACAATACATTCTGCCTCCACAATCCCTCTCGATCACAAATCTGATAAGCTATAGAAATCATAAAACTACACGCAGAAATTAAAGCACATTTCCCCTGGTGTGTGTGAGCGCGCTGGGACACTTTAGTGTCTCTAGAAGCAATTTAATGAAAGTAAGTTCGTTTGCTCAACTATTGCTGTTTTATAGGACTTGTAGGTGGCGCGAGGTGAAATGCAAACAAAGTTTATCACTGGATAATTGCATGTAAACTAAACCACACCACAGAATGTATGTTTACCCGTATTCTCCCTGAGAACCGAGGAACTCTTGAATGGGTTAATGGAAAACTTCCATTCCAAGCCTCCGACAGATACACCTATGGGATGTTTATACTGTGCGGTTCACGTGATATTACTACAGCTTTGGTTTTTGTTGTTGAAGTAAAACAACCGTAAAAGCCAAGTTCACTAAAGGAGAAACAGTGATTCGAAGTTTGTCCGGGGGATCGAGGGAGATCAGGGTGAGAAAGTGGTAGTATATTTAAAACATGAAAGCGATCGACAGATGAGGATGAAACTGATAACATCTATCTGCTTACTATGCCCAATTTTATTACTTTTATCACAGTATCACTGATATCAGGAAGAACAGGTTTGAGACATTGATTATAAAATCATTCCGGAGCTTTTGAAGTAAGCTGTGTCCCGTTACCATCGAATTTTAACTGGCAAAATCACAGTGTAAGAACGCTCAGCGATTTCAGCCTCAAAGTGTACAGCCATCACTGTTGCACTTTCTTGCGGTTGCTTTCCTCGAATTAAGACAGGGCTTTTTGTCCAGGATCAAAACCACTTTAAGGTGGAAGAGAAGAGAGGAGAGAATCAAATAGAACCCCGCTTTTCGTGGTGATCCCGGAAAAAACGAGTCACACTTGACGTCGACTATCTGCATAAAGGCATCGTGACAGTGCGGCATATCATTCAACGAGAAGCAGCGTCAGACTACGGTTCGATATACTGAATCGATGTCCAATCAAGGAAAATGGACGTGATGAGTCTACGAAAGGAACACTTGCACACGGTGACGAACCGTGCAAAAATATGGTCCATGCAACCTCTAACACCAGCCTGGTTGTCACACGTGCACCATTCACTGGCGATAGACAACCGGCGAACTATTACACCCAATAGAAAAGCCTAGAGATGATGTTGATTGAATTAATTCTCCTCGAAGATTTTCGTAAGATGAGCTGTCACGTCCTTTGTGAATCGGTAAAATGACCGACTCACGCCAGAGTCAGCTGGAATTTGGTCACTTGCCATTGTGAAGAACCCAGGAGTCTGGTCAACCCCACAGTCAGGGAAGAATCTCCATCTTTCAATGTCAATAGGAACACCTCGTCCGGGACAAAAGTGAAATATCTTTTATGGTATCTTACTTTTCATGTAACTTTGAAATTGCAGGAAGACAGCCTTCGAACACAAATTTAAAGGTGTGCAATAGGTTCGAACCAAGAAAGGCTGTGCGACAAAGTGAGGCTGAGGTACTATTCGGAGACAATCTTAGGTAACAAGAAGTTTTTACTGGTTATTGGAAAGAAACTGATAATGAGAGCTTGTTTTAAGGTTTAAAAGAAGATCTAAAATTTTCGATAGTAGGTATCAGATATCTAGAACTGGCCAACCAAAAATGGCATAACACATTTTAAGATTTGACTGAAACTGGAAAAACTAGTAGAGGAGCGCCCGACTACAATGTTATCGGCGTACTTGCACGCCATAAAGTTAAAATGGATGGGAAGGTATGGTGCGTACAGACAAAAACGGAAAGAGGGAATTGAAACCAGCAATCTACCCGGATTAAGCTTTCGGAGGAGAAGGAGCTTTGTCGTTACAAAAATTAATGTTAGAACCATCAAAAAGATGTTGGGTGAGAATGTCACGGTCACGCGACAGGAGAAATAAACGAACGGTGCCAGCTACCTCATGGGAGGAGGAAGCTTAGGGGTGAAGCACATGGGTATCACCATCAGGATTTGAAACAGAAGTTCCGTAGACAGACTGTTGAAAGCTATAGGCAAATAGAGAAGGGAGACAATCGAGTTAATAGCAACGTTTCGAAAACGTTCAACAGTTTTGAGGTAGAAGAAATCCGTTCTTGAGGATGTTATTCGGGCAGATTTCCAGTATTGAGCAAAAATTCCAGAACATACACGCAAACGGAACAAAGCCATAGGCAACGCAAGCCGTTCAATACACTCAATATGATGAGGGAAGATGAATCACGGTCATGTTCCTTGTTATAGTTTAGATGTTTCAGAATCTTCAGAACTCCAACTGGAGAGGCGAGGTGCGTCTATCTTTTCAGTAAGGGGAAACTAGGGCACTATTGGTTTGAGGACGGAAAGAGCAGCTCTCGCGTGCACCACAAAGCCGCTTCGATGTTGATAGCTCCACTTCACGACAGTTCTTATCTTTCATCATATCTATTATATCCAGGTGCGGTATATACTTCTTGATCGGAACTGAGAGTTGTTTCACAACAGTGCACCTGCCAGTCATACAGGTCTTTTATTGATCACGACAAAGCTGCTTTAGTAGAACCGATGAGACTCTGTCAGTACGAAGGCATAATCTCAAAAGGAAAACATCACAGGAAAAGTTGTTGTAATCGATAAGATGTTCACAACTGAAAGAGTTATCAGTATTAGCAAAAAAAGTCGGTAGGTTATCAGGAGAACAGAATCTCTCTTTCTCACGGTTTCGGAGATAAGATTCGTTGATTGGTGATGGCAAAATTGATTACAATGGTTTGACTGCAAAAATAGTGCAGTGGGGGCCAGTTTGTCTGCGAAATCTATTTCAAGGGTGCTTACAACAGTGCTATCAAGCTGGACAACGAGTCAAAGGCGGGAAGGGGGAGTTACAAGATTCACCATATCGAATACTGTTTAGATAGATGCGTTCAAACGATTAAAATCACCAGCAGTGATGCGTAAAGACGCAACGAGTGCTGAGAATTAGTCAGTATCAAAGGTAGGCAGGTGTGATTTTCGAATCATAGAGAATTAACCGCGGAAGAAGCTAACGTCATTTTATCTTATGTGGGTGACCAAGGCTACATCGGATACGTTTTCGGGTACGCTAAGTTGATAAACGTTTCGCTTCTCTCTCCAGAAAAAATCAGGCCAACTAATGCATTTGATTGGTCCCAAATCATTGCCCATGGTGACGAATGACATCCAGCAGCGAATCTAATCGTCATACACAGACGCCTTATATGCCTCAACACTTTCCTTTGAATAACCATGATTCACATGCAAGAAACGAATTAGTTCACACTTTGTATTGTGTTCGATCGCAATAATTTTGGGTCAGTTGGAGTTGACGGAATTACGAGAACCTCATATGCGTGCAATTTAGTAACGTGCAAGAAAGAAAAGTACATTTGGTTTCGGTGAGCTGACACATGTCATCTGAACAGTTTACCGGGATACATTTTCACATCTTGAAACTACAAATGAAAGGGGTATTCACGAACATTATTCTCCTATTCAACTGACACAACCGAAGCCGAATCCGATCTTCTGAGTATTTCATTCCGACAACGACAGTCATTTTTCTTCTTCTGGGATTGGAGTTATTAGGATTTTAAAAGCTACCTGACCTCGATGAGGAAATGGTGAAACTGAACTGCTGCATGACAGTAAGCTGTCCGAGAACTAAGAACAGAAATAAACAGATGACCGGGCAAAAATTCCACGCGTGGTGTTTGAACAATACCTGTTTTTCAGCTTAAAGTTTAACAAATGCAGTCAGTGGAAAGAATGGATTAATTCCGCTCTATATCTCGCATAGTCTAGAGAACGAGGGAATTATGGAAACTATTGACTAGGCTTAATGGTATGTGACTAATCGTGTGGTGGAGATGAACCGAGTCTAAGTGAGTGTAGTGAATAGAAATTTCACGTGACAAATAATCCAGATGAGCCGACTGGTGGCCTAATTCCTTCGGAATGATTTTCACTTTCTAATGTGCGCTAGAATGTATTTAGTCTGTCTGAATTACCGATTCTCAGCGGGACAGCCCCGATTTGGAGAAGCGAAAGACCGCTATCTCGAGAACAGCCATTATTCACAAAACCCCGCAGAATGGGACAAACGATTCCCACTCCTACCCCATCCATGCAGAACATCTCTCACATCTGATAATTGGCGCACCATTAGACAATAGAATGTGTTGGGTTCCAAGTATTCAAGAATCCCGTGAGAAAGAGATAACACGGAAGTAATCGAGTACTTCATTGGATGTGTCAAAGATAGATTTATTAGGCAATACCCATCCGGCCTGATCAAGTAACTCAATGGTGCAAGTCACTTTGGACGGATGATCGCTGGTTTGCCTAATGTTGACAACAACAACAACAACAACTGTACAATCAATTTTTCGGAGGGAGCAGAAACAACTGCGCAGATTCAATGGCGAGATTTGCATATCCGACCCGCAAATTATTAAGACGATGACGATGATGATCATAATGGCCAGTAAACAGACTTTTTTTTAGTTTGCGGTATGCTGATCACAGACACAATTTGATTTCAGTGGTAATATCTACGATACCCGTGTAATCACACGTGGGGCGTTTGCATATTCGATGAACGGACGGATCCTCGAAGAATTCGTGAATGTTCAATAAGAAATATCTTACCTGCGTTTTCTGACAACCACTACCATCTTCGTATTCAACTTCTCTGCACCCATCACTTTCATTAGGACAATAAGTGTTCCCGAGTCGGTGTAAAATATATATGAACATATTCAGTACAGTTCAGTTGTGACAACCATTAACCATGCACTTTCGTGCGCCGGTTTTGGTTGCCCATTTGGATAAAAGAGCGAAATGAAGATTGGAATATCGAAGCAAATTCGAACGG